TGCGACTTGAGTTCTCTCCACAACTGGGACTGGTTCCAGCAGCGGTAGCGGGCAATTGGCGCTTCTCGCTGTGGTTTCTTCATTGCCAAACCATGAAGATGGAACTTTAGAGACCGACATCGGTTTGGGGCTCACAATGGATTGCTGGGACATCCTCCACCTCTTCCTATATTTCCAATTGGGCTGAATTAGCAACCCAAATGTAGAAAATATCAAAGAGGCAAAGGTTTGATCGAAAACCCGCAAAGAGACGAGTTGCAGGGTTGCTTCTCTTTTATACTCAATCTTCCAGTTTTACTGTGCACAACAGTAAATAAAACAGAATTCCAAATTCACCTTGACACGTGGTGATAAACGAAAGGCTAAAACAGAACTAACTCTACTACTGATAAAACAACGACGCGTTCCAGACGAAGACACAAAATGCTTCCCGTATAGCGAATCGTCTTCGAGTCCGAAACGCGTTTCACTGCTGTCTTCTTCAAGATGAAGCTCGATGAGTCTTACCCTGCTCTGCATCCTCTGCTTCACCTTCAGGAACTCCTGCTTCGTTGTCTTTATCATCTTGACAGCCTCCCTCAAGCTGGAGTGTGCTAACTTCAAGCTTGTCCAACAATTCTCGAATTATGTATATGCTTAGGGCTTTAGTAAACAGGTTAGCAACCTGATCAAAAGTTCGTACATAAAGTAATTTGATCAAACCAGATTTCACTCTTTCATGAGTCCCATGAATATCAATCTCAATGTGTTTCATTCTTTCGTAGAATACTGGATTCTCAGCAATATATATTGCTAATCTGTTGTCACAGAACACAGCAATATGTAGTATAACCACACTCAATTCTGCAAGTAAACCTTTCATCCACTGCAATTCACACACTAATTGAGCCAAAGCTCTGTATTCCGCTTCTGAAGATGATCGTGAAACTGTGGTATGCTTTTGGCTTTCCATGTGACAAGAGAACTTCCAAGGAAAGTGCAGTATCCACTAACAGATCTCCTGGAATCTGGACAACTAGGCGAATCAGAATCACTGTATCCTGACAGCTTCAATGTGGAATCACATTTGAAATGAATTCCCTGATTTGGTGGCCCTTTAATGTACCTGAGAACTCGAAATGTTGCTTGCAGATGTTCTGTGTAAGGTTCCTTCTGGAATTGACTGAGCTGCTGCATAGGAAAGTTCAGGTCTGGTAGTGGTGAAGTAATGCAACCTGCCAACAATCCTCCTGTACTGCTCAGGATCTTCAAGTGGAACTCCTTGTTTGGCTCTCAATGAAACCTTTGGATCCAATGGTGAAACACATTGCTTGGCATTCTGATATCCAGTGTCCTTAAGGAGTTCTAAGCAGTATTTTCGTTGTCTTACTGCAATTCCATCTCAAGGCCTAGAAAGTACTTCTAACTTTCCTAGGTCCTTAATCTTAAAGTTCCTGCTGAGGTACTTTTTGACCTCCTCCACATCAGCTTCACTATCACCTCCCACTATAATATCATCGACATAAACCACTAATACCACAAAACGTCCATGAACCCATTTTGTAAACATGGAATAGTCTGAAGTAGACTGTGAGAAACTACAGTAATGAGGAAGTCAGTTTTTCAAACCATTGTCGACTTGCCCGTTTAAGTCCATATAAGGACTTTCTCAGCTACATACAAGTTTTTCAGGGCCATTGGCCCTTGGATCCCCTGGTGGTAACACCATATATACTTTTTCTTCAAGGTCTCCATGTAGAAATGCATTGGAGACATCCATCTTATCCAACACCCAACCCTTGTGAGCAGCTACAGCTAGTAATGCTTTCACAGTGTTAATCTTAGCAACAAGAGAATAGGTATCCAGAAAATCTATACCATAAACCTGTGTAAAACCTTTAGCCACTAACCTTGCCTTGTACCTCTCAATACTGCCATCTAGTCTTCTTTTTATTTTAAACACCCATTTTTTGCCTATAGCTCTCTTGCCTTTAGGTAAAATGACAACATCCCATGTGTGATTTCTTCCAAGGCTTGAGTTTCTTCATTCATTTCTCTATTCCAGTATTCACTAGCTGCTTCTTCTTGGTAAGAACATGGTTCAACTTCATGTAAAACATTCATAATGTAACTTCCGTCAACTGGAGATAATCGATCAAGATCCAAATACTGCTCCATAGGATATTTGCTAACACTACCAACATGATAATCATTAAACTTGGCTGGCATCTTGCCTCTATTAACATGAATAGGCCTACCTTCAAACTCCTCTTGTGCCTCTAGTTCAGGAGCATCATCAACATCATCAACAAAATCCTCCAAATGAACAGACTTATCAAGAGCAGAAATAGGTGAACTGGAAGGATTGACTGTGGAAGGGGAAGAAGAAGAAGTAGTCGAAGGGATTGAGGGAGAAGTGGTACTGGAACTACTGCCCCCCTCTGATCCCTCAATGGGAGAAGAATGAGTTGGTAAAATGGTATATTGGATGGTGCCAATGGGGGAGGAGTGGAAGAAGATGGTGGTTCAGTAGAAGTAGTGCGAAAAGGAAGGACCTCTTCATAGAAAATGACATTTATGGATATGAAGACTTTCAGGTCAACAAGGTGGAGAAGTGTGTAACCTTTGATTCCAGTAGGGAAACTAAGGAAAACACATTGAGAAGCACGAGATTGAAACTTGGTACGACCATGTACCAAGGTGGAAGCATAGCAAAGGCAACCAAAAACCTTCAAAACATTGAGATCAGGTGGTTTCTGGAATAGCAATTAATAAGGAGAGAGATTCTTAAGTACAGGAGTAGGCAGCCTATCAATCAAATATACTGAGTGAAGTATGCAGGCACTCCAAATTGTCAAAGGGAAACCTGAATGAAATCTCAAGGCTCGAGCCACATTTAAAATGTGTTGATGCTTACGTTCAACTCGTCCATTCTGTTCAGGGGTTTCAACACATGATGTTTGGTGTTCGATGTCATGAGTTCTATAGTATTCAGTCATGTGAAACTCTTGTCCATGATCACTACAAATTGTCTTAACTGACTTCCCAAACTTTTTCTCAACTAGGTTACTGAAACCTTGCAATAATTCATGAGTTTCACCCTTGGTGTGCATCAAGTACACCCAAACTGCCCTACTGTACCATAATAGTTAAAAAATGACTATAACCATCATAAGACATGACGGATAGGGGCCCCCATATATCAACATGAATCAGAAAGAAAGGTTCACAAGAAGTCATATCACTAACAGGAAATTGCATATTTATTGTTTATATTAGGAGTGAAAAATAATTTAAAAGTGAGAATATACAAGTAGCCTCTCAAATTCTGTTTTGTGTTAAAAACCGAACCGAATTATAATTCGGTTTAAACCGATCAAACCAAATTATAATTCGGTTCGAATTCGGTTTGAGGTTTGGAAGAATTCGGGGACCCGGTATTCATAATTTCGGTTCGGTCGAAACCGAACCGACAGAATGCCCACCCCTAGACAAAAGGGAAAGAGCTAAACAAGCAACTTCAACTCACAAAGGGAATAGGCTGGTTTAGGTAGAAATTACCACGAGATCAAGGGGAAAAACCTTGGTCTCTAGGTCTGCAATCCTTGGTTAACAACCAAGAACACTTAGCTCGCAAGCTAGGAAAAACTCCTCGGAGTACTTTGATTAAAACTCAAACGTGTCCTTTACAAGCACCAAACTAAGCTATTTATAATTACGAGATAACCTATCCTAATTCTAGAAGAACAAGGAAACAAACTACAATTAAAAAAGGAAAGGAATTCGGTTTAAACAATGAAACTTGTAACCCGAGAAACTCTTCTTCTTCTCAAAGGAGACTGCCAGAAACAACTCTTCCTTCAATCTTCATGCTGTTCGATGGAAGCCTTCCAGGTAATCTTTCCCTTAGCCAATGCCATGTATTTGTATAGTAACTAATGTACATTTATAGGGTATGATGCCTCGAACTCGATCCTCCTCCATGCTCCTGAAACTGAGCCCCAAAGTCGGCATCTTGAATACCCTTTCTTCCTTAGTAAAAAACTGGCAGATTTCAAGTTGCATTATAGCTTTTTGCAGGACTTGAAACACCACCTTCCTAGCCTCCCTTTGTCAATCCAAGCACTCCATCATGTATAACAATATCCAAGCTCCATAACAAGTGCTCATCCTCGAATTTCTACTAAGCCAATCGAGAGATACACCCCACCAAAGTGGGCTGCCCAAAACTGTTTCCACACTTAGAGAAATTCCAGCCTTGCTCTTGTTGACTTGATGCCATCTTCGAACGGGTAATTGGAACGTAAATGATGATGGAATTGATATCATATCAAGCCCCCCTTGTTTAAAAAGCTTTGCCCTCAAAGCTTGAATCAACCTGCGCTCAAAATGATCGACAAAATCATCCCAAACAGGGTAACAAAAAGTTAATGCCAAAACGTCCTTTTCCGGTGAGACCCGATTTCCCGGCGAGCCTTTAAAAATTGTGGATTTCTGATCGAAAGAATAAATTTACCAGCATGATTGGGAAATGCAGGTAAATATTGAGACACAGAATAAGCCTTAGGAGTAATCCTGGGTGAGCTACCTGGTGACAATGATCCAGTATCCATGTCGAACTGCAGAAGAGTCTTGAGACGTGTAATTTCATCAGAAACGAAAGCATTCACAGATTTAGAAGGACTAATGCTATCATTAGAAATGCTACTGGTGCTGTCAGAAGAAAGTGTTGCACTGTCTGTGGAAACAGAACCAGAAAAGCCTTCCTTCTCCTGTTCTTTCGTCTTTAACTTCCAGCAATCTTTGATAGTATGATCTGTGCGTTTGCAGTTTCTGCAAATAAGTTTTCCTGAGCACGGTCCTGCCTCCTGCCTCCCTTTATATTGATCCTTACGATATTGGTTGCCAACAGCTAGAGCAACAGATTGACTACCTTTGGTCTTAGTCTGATCCACTTTGAGTTTTTGTTCATGTAAGAGTAAATCATCAATAGCAGGAGTCACAGTGGGTAAGGGTTTCCTTCAGCAATGAGCGGTGTAAGAGGAGTAAGGTTTGGCTCTTCGTTTGATAAGTCGATGCACAGCAGCTAATGAAGCAGCAGTTGTCTCCAACTTTGTGAAATCCAAGTTGGCGGCGGAAATTGGTAGTGTTTCATCGCTTGTGGTTCCATTGTTGATGGTGATGTCATCGACGAACCGTTCCGCGGGACTGATTGTCGTCGGCATCTCGCTATGCGAGTCATCATCGAGCAGAAGTTTGTGGTCAGTGGTGGTCAATGTCAATGGCATGCCTTATGGATTATGTGGCGGGAACTGGCTGCTACCACTCTCTATCATTCGTAGGGAATCCCTGTGAGTTGAAACAGTTGTTCCCGCAGCTTGAGGTATTTAGAACTCAATGACGTGGCTTTGAATCCTGGATCCGTACTCTTGGTCTTTGGCGGTTTGGTCGACATTCTAAGAATCATACTCTGATACTAGTTGTTACGTAGATTTTTCTAGGAGAACGATTTTATGAACTAAACTACGAAAATAGAACGAACTGAAATGGTTACTCGAAAGGAAATAATAAACGCTCAAAGGAAACTAAGGAACGTGCAATAAACAAACGGCGATAAGAAAGCTATTTGGGTTTCAATCTTCTCATATCTTTATTCATTAACAAAGTCTCTATTTATAGAGTTACGTAACCAAATCATTTTCCTTCTCACCCTAGGCTTAAGCCTTTCTCTTTATCCTTTTCTTACTAGAATTCTCTTTCTTCCCGTACAAGAAATATTAATTAATATCTGTCACCTCTCCTAATCCAACTAAGACAACTACTAATAATTAATAATATCTCATATTAATAACAAAATACCAACTAATTACTAAAAATAGATGAGTCCAGAAATTCCTAATTTGTCACGATGGTCAAAAAACAATCACAAGAATAATACTACTACAAGAAACACATGATATTTTATTATCCTTAAACTCCAAAACATGTCATTCAAATCCTTGTGATTTTTTTAAACATCTCACCAATTTATGAGTGATTTTATCATTTTGGGAGTGATATATAAAATGGAATGGGTCTAACGGGTCGACCCGCTAACCCACCCAAACTTCTGAGAACGCTCATAACCCGAAATGACCTGTAACCCGACCGGAAACCAAATGGGTTGGGTCAATATTTGACTTGAAATCACCCAACCAAACATGACCTGACCCATAACCGAAGTCCCCAACCCGAAATTACCCAACCCAACCCGTTTGCCAAGTCTACGTGTTAGTCTCAAATAGAACCCTATATGTGGTGTTTTAATCAATATGTTTCAGTGTTAATTAATAATAACGTGGCTGAGAATTAATCATCGAATAAAAGAGTTGCCAAACCAATTATTGTGTCCCAAATAAGACGATTGAACCATTAAAACGAGGGAAAGGATAGGGTGCTACTAACCATTTGTGTTTGATGCTAACAAAATTCATTATGGGTATTATAGTAAGAACCCACTTAAAGGAGCAACTTCTTTACCTCTTCATCCCATGTGCTTGAGTTTCATATGAAAATTACAGTTTCGTATCTAAACTTAATAGATTTCTTTTTTGATGAATGGTAAGGTGTATTTCATCAAAAGACTGTACTTTTATGGCAACAACCCTTGTCATTAGGTCACTCCTACAATTATAACACTATTTCTAACTCTAAACCAAGATGGAAGTCAAGCAGAGCAACAAGATCCCATTCACAAGAACTTTTCCATATCATCAGCAGCACAGAGCACTTCCAGATCGGATTTCACCCTTTTCTTCACTTTATCCAAGCTTAATATTGGTTTCCCATGATTCGCATTGCATCTGTCACGCCAAATGCCACTGAGTAAAGATTTCCATAGAAGTCTCCCAACTCTGCAAGTTGCACTAGGACCTGAAAAAGCAGTCACAGCCCACTGTAACTCTGCTTCCCAACTCTTTGATGGGAACCTGCTGGTGAACTTTGAAAACAAACAGAAGTAAATGTCTTTATATCTGTTACATTCAGCAAATAAGTAATTAAGGGATTCAACTGCAACATCACAAAAGGCACATTTGAAGCTCCCCTGATATCCCCAGCTCAAGAGTTTATCCCCTGTAGTGAGATACCCTTTGATGATTAACCAGCAGAGAAATTGATCACTTGGAATTGTAGGTTGACTCCAAATCAGCTTGTACCAGTCCACAACAGGAAGCTTTGGCCGAAAAAACTCCCATACTAGCTTTAGTGGGAACTTCTTCTGCACCATTCCATCCCAAGACCCATCTCCATTTATAACAGAAAGATGCCCCTGAACCTGCCCCCTGCATTTCAGTATTCTCAACCAGATCCAAGAGCCAGTTTTACCAGTTGCAGTCCATAAATAAATATGATGCAATCTATACTCTGTCACCCATGCAACCCAAAGAGAACCTCCCTGCATCAGGAGATCCCAGATATGTCTTACCACAAAAGCATGATTCCAACTTACAAGCTTTATGATACCCAGCCCACCTTCTTTCCTAGGGAAACAGATTTTACTTCACTCTACAGTTGCTCTAAGTTTACCTTCAGAGCCAACCCCCCACAAGAAATTACTGCAGAGTTGTTCAATTTCCTTAATCACTCTCTTAGGAAGAACAAAGATAACTATCTAGAATTGGACTAAACTATAAAGAACAGACATCACCAGTTGAATCTTCCCAGCATAGCTCAAAAGCTTGGCCCCCCCGTTTTAAATTCTACTTAGCAGTTTATCAATCAAAGGCCTACAAGCTTTGACAGTGAGTTTGTTTGAAATCAAAGGAACCCCCAAGTATCTGACTAGAAGGGAACCAAGTTTATACCCAGCATAAGCAGCCATACTATCTTTCCACTCTTGATGTAACCCCCCACAATATAGCTCACATTTAGACGAATTAAACGTACGCCCTGACAATATTCTAAAATCAGACAGGACTCTCTGAATGCATTGAAGACCAAATTTTGACCCATCAGAGAATAACAACAGGTCATCAGCAAACATTAAGTGAGTTAATCCAACCCTTTTACACATAGGGTGAAAAGGCAATATATTTTCTGAGACTGCTTCTTCCATAAGGCAACTAAAAACTTCCATTGCCACAGCAAATAAGTAAGGGAAAAGTGGATCCCCTTGATGCAGACCTTTTTTACACTACAAAAAAGTCTGGCAGAAGTGACCAGAACCTTCTGACGACACAGTTTTTTCATTGGAAATAACTGTTTTTGTGACAAACTTTTATTTTGCTCATGAATACTTATGTTATTTCCGACTAACAGTTAAATTCATTAGAAATGTCTAAATCGTTCTTCATTAAAGGTAAATTTCACATATATGAGGAAGGTTGTGCCACTTTTATCGACGATATTTTAATTGCCGTAAGTAATGAATAACATTACTCACTAACTTACAAAAACCGTTGGAAATATTATTGTTTGTGACGCCAAAAAACTGTTCTACAATTCAGAATGATTTTTTGTGACGCCAAATGATCTCCTCGGAAAAGTACAGTTTCGAATAATTATATCTGTGAGGATTTTATTTACTCGTCAGAAAAACTATATTTTTTTTCGAGAATGATACTTATATCTGCGAGGATTTTATTTATCCTTCAGAAAAATTTATTTTTTTCGACTATGATAATAGGTCGTCAATAAAAAATGGTTAGAACAAATGCACATTACATGTAGCTACCTACCTTGTATTAATGACTACCTTGTATTAATAACACATTAACACTACTAACGAATTATGATGTCGTAAGAATTTTTTTTTAAAATATTCCTTTTTTACCCTTCAGCTCATCTTTTTCAATTGTTGATATGAATTCGTTGGAAATAATTAGTCACAAATATTGATTTCACATACAGTAGATTAGTTCATTGGTGTCACAAAAAACCTTTAAAAAATTTAAGTCTATGATTAAACTCGAACCTAGGACCTCTTGTTCAAGAATAAGAGTACACACCAGTTAAGCTACATGCAATTTGCGTGACTTCGTTATTTCTGTTTCTATTATTGTGTAATAGAAATATATTTGCAGAGAACTCCCCATCTTCTGCAGATCAATTCAATGCTGGTTCTTCGCCTGCATAACAATAAACGAACCTCAGGTGCTGTTCTTCCCCTGCAGACCAATTAATTCCAAAATTACAATAAATGGTAACGATTCCAATTAATCAAAACTGTTCAACGCATCTAAACTGTCGTTCGTTCACATCATCCTCTTAATTGCGGCCAAAGGGAGAAAGGGGGAAGAACAAATCAATCAACAAACTCTTTATAAAAAAGCTCTGCAGACCAAAGAACAAATAACAAATCACTCGAACGAACTCTGAAATAGCAAATTGAGAAGACTGCACCGCCGATCCCCACCGCCAGAGTGCAGCGCCGGAGTTGCCGTTTTCCGCCGCCAGACTGCTCCGCCGGAGTTACCGTTTCCCCACCGCCGGAATACACCGCCGGAGTTACCGTTTCCCCACCGCCGGAGTGCACCGCCGATTGAGAAGACGACTGCAACTCTGGAAGTCTGGAACGACGCCTTGGAGAACTCTGAAGTCTGGAACTCTGGAAGTCTATCTGGCCACCGCGGTTTTGGGACGCGAAGAAAGGTAAGGGGTTGTTTTCCGGCTTTTTTATTATTTTATTAATTTATTGGTATTTTTAGGAATTTTCTAGTTCATACACGTGCAAATATGTTTTATTTTGTAATTTATTATTTTATTGAATATGATTATGTAGCTTAAAGTGGAAGTATTTAAGTTTCCTAGTTGGTATTCAATTAAAATTATATTGAATGTGATTAACTATTTGTTTGTAATTTACAATTATTTTAAAATTATATTGAATTACATTTTCTTTATAAGGGAATGAGAAGCGACTACACTAAATGGATTTACCATGGTGAGGTCGATGAAGATGAAGAAAATGATGATGATGAAGGTCCAGAATTGGGTGATGATAACATGGAAGAAGAAAATAGAGATGGTGACGATATGGGTGAAGATAACGATATGGGCGAAGATGATATGCTTGGTGTTCTGAACGACCTCATGGCTCCATTAGCGAATCCGGAAGAGCCTAATGCCCAAGCTCAAAATTTCTACAAACTTTTTGGAGAGGCCCAATCACCGTTGTACGAGGGATGTGCTTCGAATGTGTCAAGATTGTCATTTGTCACAAAGCTTATGAAAATCAAGTGGGAGAATAATTGGAGTAACAATTCATTTACCCAGTTGGTCAAGTATATTCGGGCTGTATTTCCTATGG